ACCCCTTCATTCGTGCCCTATCCCTGGTGAACAAAACAAGAATCATCAAGAAATCCTCCTAATCCACAAATATTGGGAAGAATTAGAGTTAAACGGCTTGTTTCCTTCATATCTGACCTTAATACCAAAAAAATAAAAAAAGATTGGAAATTAAGAACAAAATGAAAAAATTAATTCGACTCAGCTAGCATAAACTCTGATAGAATAATAAATCAATGGAGCAAGAAACAAAAAGTTCACTATTGATTGACTAAAATGAACCCCAAGCAAAAAAAATCTGAAATGACCAAAATATCAAGAATTGTATCGAAATTAATTAAAGACACATACATGGTGGGTGCTGTTATTGCTTGGAGACATGGGGTGGTTCTCTCTCTTCTGCATGTATGTATGTATATATATATATAGAGAGAGACAGACCGACCTTAACATTTTTGTCAATTGATCCAGGAGTTTCATTTGGAAAAGGAAATTCCTCTTCCTCTCTCTGCTTTTTTTGTTTGTAGGATAGGGGAGTGGGGTGGAGTGGTGGAGGCAATAGCTGATTTTATTTGGCTACCACTGCTTTGGACATTCTAAGTCTCTAACACTATAGATGTCTTAACTCTGCAGATAACAATAGCCTAATCAAAAGACATGAAGAATTTTGGTGTTAGTAAATATTGCACTTAAGGAGTCATGTACAAGTATGGCTTTCCCCTAACACGAGTTTGATTAATAACCATGGAAGAAATGTTGGAGCTTAGTGTATGTTCTCAGGTCTAGCATTTAATGCTCTGCGTCACATGCTTTACATAAAAATGTCCATTTTTCCTCACTATGTGCCCACCAAGTATGTGGTTAAATGTCTGTTTAAAAAAATTAAACTTACTTTTCTACTTTTAAACTTAGCCAAACGTGCTCTATATTCTGGACAATTTTTCACCACAATTACCTTGGAAAAATGGTAAGGTACTGCCAATGTTTTGCCACTGGAACATATTGCAACGGGGTGCAGCTGTTTCAATTGTCAAAATAATATAGAAAATGAGACTGCAAGACACTCTGCTGCTGCGTATATCTTAGAACATTATCCAAAAGTATTCGGGCCAAAGATTGAGACCAGTCCGAATAAGGTAATGTATCTAGCAGTGATGTTTCTTAGTAATTAGTAAATATCATTTCAGTAGGGGATCAAAATGTTTTCTATGTGAATATGGGTTGAGCATCGGGAAACTTATATATGTAGTTTGAACGCACTGACTTAGTTCCAAATTTAAAGTTGCGGTCGTTACACGAGAGGTAGACTTTTTCTCATTCGAAGAATGCCCAGTGCTTGCACAAAGCAGATAGATGCTGTCATGATGATATCATTAGGTATTCTGGCTGCAGATCCTCTCTTGAATCAAAGAAGAGGAAGACTCCAGTTAACTTGCCTAGTTCAAATAGGGGGATTCCATTTAACTGCAGCGTTCAATATTACAAGCAGCCGCAGGTATATTCTCAGTATCTGACCAAATATGTTGTCTTTGCTGTTCCATTGATATAGTTGGCTTTGTTTAAGGAAAAATGTAAATAAATAAATGTGTCTCCTTTCTAAAAACTTAAGCTTTTAAATGTGATTGTTCAACATAGTATTAAAACGTGCAGAGATTCTGAGTTCGAGTCTTGCCATCCTGTTATGAAGACTTTGAGCGTCAGGGTATTGATGAAAAATTGAATCTAGCCTGCTGGTGAGGTGGTGTTGAAGGAAAAGTTAAAATAAATAAATATCTCCATTTTCAAACAGCCCAATCTTTTAGATGAGATAGTTCAACAGGCTTTATGGATATCTTGACATTAAATCAGAGAGCAGTATACTCCTCTTCATCAGCGACAAGTTGACATATAGTAAAGGGATTTGGCTTGTCAATTCCATCAAAGCTTAACTAGGCTCAATTTTTTTTTTTTTAACTATATATGGATGCAAATAAGTTCATGTTTCTCATGTAGAGTTGCAGTTCTTTTTTCTCTCTCTTTCATGTCTTCCTTTCTTGGCCGATTTGTACACCTGCATTGAGCTTCTCGAAGTTCAAATGCAGGTTTTCGCTAAAGCTCTCAGCCTCTCATTAATTTAATTCAGAGAGTTGATTAAAAGCTAGCACATTTAATTCAGAGAGTTGATTAAAAGCTAGCACATTTGTTTCTTCACAAGCTAATCAGCTTTAGCTGTTTATGCCTGAAGATCCATGATAGCAGACATTGACTTGATGGATGTATGCTTTATTTTGCTGGGTGAATCTGCATCTGTTAACATCCTTTCTGGTAGAGTCTAATACATAGAGAGAATTGTCTGTCAATTTATGAATTTGTTTCGTTTTACTTTGATTTTACATTTATCATGTATAGGCAAAAGAAGTCCAATCAATATAGAAGTTTCTCCGGGACCTATTGCCTTGACAGGTGATACAAAAGAGGATCGTGACTACAATACAGATACATACATTGAGAAGGAAAAGCTTGTACTGGTGAAGTTCCGGGATTTTCTAGACAGGATAATTGCTCGTGGAAACATAAAAGATAAATGGTCCACATCACATGGTTCTGGAAATACGAAAGTTTCAATCTGGATCTAGACTGGTGAAATAAATGCTTCTTAAAATCTTCAAAAGCATTGGCTCTGAGACTACATCTTTTTTGGAAATTTTAGTTTTGAAATGGCCATGTCAAATTATTCATAGCAGTAATACTTTGTGTCCTTATATTTCTGATCGTGGACCTTTCTTATTAGTTCTGCCCATTATAGTCCATATGCCTTCCATCTATGAAATACTATTTTTTCTTCTTGTGTTTTTCCTTTGTGTGTTTTCTTAGACACCACAAGCAAATTTGTTCTTGTTTGTCAATCTCACTTTCTGATCATGAAGGCAAAACCAGTCATTTTAAATTCAAGTATTTAAAAAAACTTGCAAGTGCCAGATGCAATACATAAGAGGAATATCGCTTAAATGAAGTTTTGAAAAAGTTCTTAATTTGCAAGGAGGAATCAAAGTCAGTGTCTTTTTGGCAAAAATACAAATTGAGGACTTGTGACAGAGAATTGACCAATGATCTCAAAGGGATAGCATTACCCAACTCTAACCCACGTGGCACCTGTTTAATGGGATTTCATAATCTCTCCAAACAAATTCAGTATGCCACGTGGCTGGCCAAGATCCACTGCAAAAGGATCAAAACCCAGAACACATCCACAGAAAATCAAGAAGTTTTGGACACACACAATTCCAATGGCATCCCTTGCAACATTTGCTGCAGTGCAGCCCACCACTGTTAAGGGCCTTGCCTGGAGCTCACTTGCTGGAACTAAGCTCAATGTCAAGCCATCTCGCCGAAGCTTCAAGCCCACAAACTACAGGTAACAATTTTTCCCTTTTGCCAATAGCATTTGGTGCTTGCTAAATTTTTATTTTTTAAAAACTTATCAACAGAAATAACCAAACTGAGCAGTGGAAAATGATTTAAGTAGGTGACTCCAAACTTAACAGGATCAATGCTTAATTTGTTGCTTTTTGAAATAACGGATTTCGACCCAACTAACACGGGGTGAATAGGTGTCCATGCGAAATTTAAATTTACCAATTAATAAATGCAACAAGTCACAGTTATTAATTAATTCGGATGAATTTACATGCACTACTATCCAATGTTGAATTGTCACAGGTAATAAATTACTGAAAAATAAATAACGCTTGAAAATTGTTATCAAAAAAAACTCGTAACTAGGTAAAACTTCGGGCCCCAAGCCAGTAAACAATCCACTATAAACGAATAGTACTGTTAGACTCGACTAACTCTAATACTTTTTGACCTCCTGACTGTAATCACCACAGCCATCCAGGATTGCATGCTCCTGAACCAATTCCCGACATTCTGAAATCGTCTATCTCCTATGGATCAATGAGAATTCCTCGTTCTCCAACAATCAGAACTCTGATAACTTTTCTTGACCTTCAGAATAAGTGGTTTGGTATTTGATTTATGTGAGGTTGAAGTTTTTCAATGCAATGATGAAATCAATATGAAGTTTGAACTCTAGAAATGATATGGAGGAAGTAATCACTCGTTTCTCTCAATGTTCAACCTTCTTTTTTCGAATAGAGGCATGCATATACATGGTGAAGAGGTTTTGGATAGTATAGATCGGATAAAAACCTTGAAAAATGAGAATTACGTTATCCCGGGATACACCGTCGCTCGAGCGAAGTCCAAGCAACAGGCGGGCGTCGCAGCTTTTGTTTTTACCGTTCGGGCATCAGTTGGACGATAGGCTAACGAAATTACGACGACTATTTTCTCCTCATTCCATACTCGAACCCTATCATTTCTAACTAACCACTTGACACTTCGACTTTTAAAAACTTTTTTACAATAATAATTTTGTCAAAAGATTGCCAACGATTTTAAAACCTAACACTTTTGAACGGAGCGGAATGTAATCATATCTAAAAAAAACTTAGCCTTCTTTTTTCAATAATAATGAAATCCCGTACAACAAATGAATATAGTTATCTCATTAAGGTCAAATTAATATTTTTTGAGTTTTAAGTACGTCTTGGTGGGAAGTGTCTTGTGAAGTTGGGTATTTATTGATTTGTTTTATTACTACCCAGAGCTGGAGCAGTGATTGCAAAATATGGAGACAAGAGTGTGTACTTTGATTTAGAGGATTTGGGCAACACCACCGGCCAATGGGACTTGTACGGATCTGATGCACCTTCACCATACAACCCCCTCCAGGTATATAAATCTCTGCACTTTCCAAATTTCAGTTGGTGTATAAATTTCTAGAACTTACATGCATGAGTAGAAATATTGCAAGTGATTGTTTTAAGTGAAGCTCAATTATATTGAACTTTTCCATCAATTATGGATGGACGTAATAATTTTTTGGAGCCACTTTTCTGCCAAATGCCTACCGAGAGAATTGATTTGAATCATTCAAAATTCACAAGTTTACTTGTGTGTTTCATATTGTCAATTTATTGTGATCAAGCACTTAGGCTTGATCGACAGAATTGTTGATTTTGCTTCTATTTCTTGTAGAAGAATTTTTTAAGGAAGTTATATTATGTCAACTTTTAAAAAATTATCCAGACATGATCAAGAGTAAGTTCTTAGTCTCGTAAACAACTGTTAATTTTTCAAAAAGTCATATCTAACTGTCCATAATTGATAACAAGGACAACAAACATAAGGCTTCAACTCATTTTTCACTCAATTCAATGTATTAAACATGTCATTTGTGTGCTCAAGAACTAGTTTTTGATTTACTATTGCAGAGCAAGTTCTTCGAGACATTTGCAGCTCCATTCACCAAGAGAGGTGTATTGCTCAAGTTCTTGATATTGGGAGGCGGCTCCGCCCTTGCTTACTTTAGCTCCACCGCAACAGGGGACATTTTACCAATTGTCAAGGGCCCACAACTTCCACCCAAGCCTGGGCCACGTGGCAAAATCTAATTCCCTTGGAAATTGGAATCTATAATTTTATTTTATTTTTCTTCTTTTGATTGGGTTTGGTGTGTCATTTTTACAGCCTGTATCTAACATCTCCGCATGACACTGTTAATTATCAACAAATTGTCAATTGTGTGATTATTTGAGCAACGTGTTTGGCTTAGCTTAAAAGTTTTTAAAAAGTCAATAAATTGATTCCAGCAACGTTGGTAACGTGAAAAAGTAAGAGATAATGCAAGCGCGCACATTTAACATAAACTCGTTAAGAATAAGAACAGAGTAGGGAACAAGAAGATATCAGATCGTTACTTTTCATTTCTTTTGACCCATGTTTGGTCCGGATTAAAATCAGATTTTTATCCAAATCAAAGTCAAATAATCAATATTAACCACATCTTTCATGGGTCCTACAACTTTTCAACCACACATTTCAAAAACTTCTATCACAATCTATTAGAAATCTAATTTTAATTTTCACCAAACACCCTCCGACAATGTACATGACATTTTACTGTACAGATTTTGCTTTTAATTTATGTTTTCCTATTATGCCCCTTTCACTGACAACCCATTTCATTTATACAACCAAATTATTTCCTCTTCACCAATTCGTCGCCGATAGACGCTCTTCTCCACCTAGAAAATAAAGAATTCCCAGTCTCCAATCAGAGAGAAAAAGAAGATCCAACATCATGCATGTGGTTGAGCTATTGTCACCTTCCTCTTTCCACCCATCAGTGTTCGCTTATTGGGAACCCTCGTCAGCAAGAAATCAGACCATGGAAAATGATAAGTGTATTTTATACACTTATTCGGACTCTGAAATATTGACATTTCAATTCTTTTAATGGAATTATAACCTAATTTATTATATAATGTGTTATTAGGTGAAACTCGATAAATGGAAATAGATTTGAAAGAAATAAGTGAAAATTGGCGAAAAAAATGAACAAATCCAAAGTTTTGGGACTAAAGTGTAAATACTCAAAATTGTGCCGAATCTCACGATGAAGATTTGAGAATGTTAAGGGTCAAATGGATACAATTAAAAGTCAAAAGAAGTGAAATATGACCAAAATATTTTCACAAATCAATTTTCAACAGTGCAAGGATATTTCAGAGTTTCAGTCGAAGATTGAGACTCATTTTTGCCTAATAAACGTTTGAATTGGGAAACAACTACTTCTAGTAAAGTTGTAACCCTTTGAGTTATCTTTACAACTCAATTTGAATCGTCTCAATCGGATATCGGGAGAGAAAGTTATGATGAAAACACTAAATGTGCGATGCAATACAGTTTTTCTCTCAAAAGGTGGCATCGCCTGGGTGGATCTAGGGCACATTTTTTTGTCCATTTTAAAGCCCATAAAAATCCTACATTGGATACAAATGTGCAAGAATAATCTATTTTTCTACATCGTTATTTAAAATTCGATGATGTACTCAATAACTTTGTGTTTTTCTTCTTCCATCATTATAAGTAGCTAAATTTTATATTAGGGCGAACAATGTAATCTATTTGAGACCTTTTATTTCTTTTATTCAAGGTTCTTGGTATTTTATCATACACATGTTGATTTTGCTATGAATTTAATGCATTGAATTACTTGATCGCTAATTTGATAATTTTGTGAATCGTTTACGAATCGAAATGTGAGTTTGAAATTTAAACCATATAGTAAAATTCAGTATATTAGTATGCCGTGTAGAGATGCATATACTAAATATTGCGTAAATAGTAAAAGTCGGTAAATTGACATAACGTGTAGATATATCTATGTTAATTATTGCGGTAATAAGTGAATTCTTAGAACCAATATTTCGTTTAGCCATGGTAGATTTACATGGAGATATGAGATTGAATTAGTTAAATAGAGTCAATGAGAACTCGAGATGAGTGAATTGAATACAATAGAAGAATTCGATTGAACATTACATTAGACTTCTGAATCTTGAATTAAGACTTAAAGGTAATTAATATGTAAAATTGTTCGGCCCTAATATACATCCATCATTTGAATTTTCAATCAATCTTTGTGCGCATTTAAATTGATTTCAAGTATTTAAACCAAAAATTCACAACTATAATTCTTTGTTTGCTTTCGTCAAATAGGAGTTAGAAAAATCTAATTAAGTTTTAAAGTATAGTTTTCGTGGGAACGATAATTCGGATTCAAATGTCCAATGTTAACTTGTATTGGATTTATTGTTATACGTAGTTGTATTGTTGTTAATTCACAGACAGTTCATTAAACACAAACTCTGAAAATACCAATTTTTCTGGTAATTCCTCATAAAATGAAGAAAGTATATATTCAGACCAACATACACATTAACGTTAAGCACACAGTACAAGCACTTGGCAGATTAAAATTGAAATAGATAAAAGAAAAAGAATATTTCTCTTTACTCTTTGGGATGTGAATTGGGTAATTTGGGTTTTCATTTTTAAATGACCAATGGGTTTGGGTTTTCATTTTTCAAATGGGATTATGGGCTAGATAGTGGGCTAAGGGTGGCAAAACAATGGACTAGTTAAACCATGGAAAGGATAATTGGGCTTCAACAAAATGTTTTTTTTTTGTTTTTCAGCGGCTGGGCTTGGGCAAGGGTGGGCTACAGCCCACCCCAGCCCACCCCTATCTCCGCCAGTGTATATATATAGCATCTGTTTGTTTGCCATTTTTCCCCTTATTTTTAGAAGATATCAGATCGTTACTTTTCATTTCTTTTGACCCATGTTTGGTCCGGATTAAAATCAGATTTTTATCCAAGTCAAAGTCAAACAATCAATATTAACCACATCTTTCATGGGTCCTACAACTTTTCAACCACACATTTCAAAAACTTCTATCACAATCTATTAGAAATCTAATTTTAATTTTCACCAAACACCCTCCTGACGATGTACATGACATTTTACTGTACCGATTTTGCTTTTAATTTATGTTTTCCTATTATGCCCCTTTCACTGACAACCCATTTCATTTATACAAACAAATTATTCCCTCTTCACCAATTCGTCGCCGATAGACGCTCTTCTCCACCTAGAAAATAAAGAATTCCCAGTCTCCAATCAGAGAGAAAAAGAAGATCCAACATCATGCATGTGGTTGAGCTAGTCACCTTCCTCTTTCCACCCATCAGTGTTCGCTTATTGGGAACCCTCGTCGGCAAGAAATCAGACCATGGAAAATGATAAGTGTATTTTATACACTTATTCGGACTCTGAAATATTGACATTTCAATTCTTTTAATGGAATTATAACCTAGTTTATTATATAATGTGGTATTAGGTGAAACTCGATAAATGGAAATAGATTTGAAAGAAATAAGTGAACATTGGCGAAAAAAATGAACAAATCCAAAGTTTGGGGACTAAAGTGTAAATACTCAAAATTGTGCCGAATCTCACGATGAAGATTTGAGAATGTTAGGGGTCAAATGGATACAATTAAAAGTCAAAAGAAGTGAAACATGACCAAAATATTTTCACAAATCAATTTTCAACAGTGCAAGGATATTTCAGAGTTTCAGTCGAAGATTGAGACTCATTTTTGCCTAATAAACGTTCGAATTGGGAAACAACTACTTCTAGTAAAGTTGCAACCCTTTGAGTTATCTTTACAACTCAATTTGAATCGTCTCAATCGGACATTAGGAGAGAAAGTTATGATGAGAACACTAAATGTGCGATGCAATACAGTTTTTCTCTCGAAAGGTGGCATCGCCTGGGTGGATCTAGGGCACATTTTTTTGTCCATTTTAAAGCCCATAAAAATCCTACATTGGATACAAATGTGCAAGAATAATTTATTTTTCTACATCGTTATTTAAAATTCGATGATGTACTCAATAACTTCGTGTTTTTCTTCTTCCATCATTATAAGTAGCTAAATTTTATATTAGGGCGAACAATGTAATCTACTTGAGACCTTTTATTTCTTTTATTCAAGGTTATTGGTATTTTATCATACACATGTTAATTTTGCTATGAATTTAATGCATTGAATTACTTGATCGCTAATTTGATAATTTTGTGAATCGTTTACGAATCGAAAGGTGAGTTTGAAATTTAAACCATATAGTAAAATTCAGTATATTAGTATGCCGTGCAGAGATGCATATACTAAATATTGCGTAAATAGTAAAAGTCGGTAAATTGACATAACGTGTAGATATATCTATGTTAATTATTGCGGTAATAAGTGAATTCTTAGAACCAATATTTCGTTTAGCCATGGTAGATTTACATGGAGATATGAGATTGAATTAGTTAAATAGAGTCAATGAGAACTCGAGATGAGTGAATTGAATATAATAGAAGAATTCGATCGAACATTACATTAGACTTCTGAATCTTGAATTAAGACTTAAAGGTAATTAATATGTAAATTTGTTCGGCCCTAATATACATCCATCATTTGAATTTTCAATCAATCTTTGTGCGCATTTAAATTGATTTCAAGTATTTAAACCAAAAATTCACAACTATAATTCTTTGTTTGCTTTCATCAAATAGGAGTTAGAAAAATCTAATTAAGTTTTAAAGTATACTTTTCGTGGGAACGATAATTCGGATTCAAATGTCCAATGTTAACTTGTATTGGATTTATCGTTATCCGTAGGACATAACAACAATTAAGTGTCTGTCAGGGAGTTGTAATTTAAATGCGTGATGGTACATTTTCATTTTTCATTACAATCACGATCAATGCATGAGTTGTCCTTTTCCCTACATCTCAGAACAATTAAGGTCTTGTGTGCTTTTTTAGGACAAGTTCACCGAACACATCATCATATCTGTGAATGCAATCACCTACAAACCATCTATAAAAGGCAAGTTACGTAATCACAATGCACACTAAAAAATTGTCTACAGAATATATTTTCAAAGTTTCATTTCAATCTCTTCTTAAACTACTTGGTAGTTTGAGAACAATTGTTGCTATGGACGGTAAAGATCTCGATTGTCATATTCGACTAGGATCTAACTTCAATGG